TAGTAGTCAGCCAAAACCACTAAGCATTTTGCATCCATACGGTGTTTTTCGGGATACTGACTGCATAGTAAATTATCAATGTACTAGTTAATGTTCTCGAGGGATGACCCTGTTACGTGTCAGTAACCTCCTCGACACGGTTCATTTTACGGCGGCTCATTTTTGTCTTAAGAATAAACATAATTGATAAGTTTCTTTCCCCTGGATTCCTCGATCGCACTTGTAAATAGCACATTGGTCAAGACATTGGTACACTATACGTTACAACACTTGCCGTCAGTACTCAAAATTGGAAAAATATTAAATAAGGTATAGAAAATTAATGCACACACACTATCAACCACAGACATGATGTTTTTATCAATTTGCCTAAATCGTTATTCCGCAATACATTATTATACAACGAGGGTGATAAAAACCCACCACTTTGAACACAGGGACCGGCATGCTGTGAATTTGAAAGTTTCCCAAATGAGTAACTATCCATTACTTTTCTTTAAGTTTTATTTAATACACATTTCATTTGAAATGGCTGATCCAAGGAAGGGGGGGGGGGGGGGGGGGGGGGAGGGCTTGGGGGCCCAGGCCCCCCTTTCTTGGGAAAAAATTGGTTGATTATATAGGGAATCACTGAAGCATGACTGGAGTGGGCCCTCCCTTTTGAAAAGTTCTGGATCCGCCACTGTATATTCATAAAAAAAACCCAACAAATTATCCAAAAGATGAATGAGGGGCCTGATGGGGGGGTCTCATCACGATTCACGAGTTGATTGTTTTGTCAATCACGATTCACAGAAAATAAATTTCCATGATCACGGATCACGAAAATATAAAAAAAAAATAAATCTGTAGAAAAACGGATCACGATAGCGAAAATGCGCCGATCACGAAGAACGAAAATAACCCATCAGGCCCCTCATGAATAAATAGTCTTTAAGGACTCCAGGAGTCCATTTCACAAAAATACTTACGACTTAGATTGATTATATGTAAACTTGAGTTGGTTTTACAAAAAAAAAACTTACAAGTAATCGTAAGTATACTGTATTGTACATGACTTAATTACTATCAATATTATTTGTAAGTTTTTTTGTGAAACTGACTCCTGAATTGTTTTTCCATGCTTATGGTACATCGATTTAAGTCCTAAGATTTTTTGAAAACCACCTCCAGGGTATAATGTCTGCTCGTTATAGAATCCGTTTGCCCTATTTTTATTAAAAATGAAATATATTGATATTAATAGCATATAGGTTAAATAATTTATTCATACATTTTTAATTGACTGACTAGAATTATTGAGGAATTTAAACCATTCCTATTTTTAAAAAGTGACAAAAATAAAATTTACATATAACAGGGTGATACAAATGAGAAGAACTCAAGACATTGTTTCCAATTAAGATAAATACATGCAGTTAATAATGGTTTTCAGTTGTTTTTTAAAGCAGAGGCAGATTTAGTGGGGGGGGGGGGGGGCAGAGTTCGGGGCCCCCTTTTCTGGAAAAAATGGTTGATTATATAGGAATCACTGAAGCATGACAGGAGCAGGGCCCCTCTTAGGCATTCAGTGGGCCCCCACTTATGAAAATTTCTGGATCCGCCACTGTTAAATGGTCTTCAGTTGTATTATATTAAAAACTTTATACCTGTATTCTATAGTGCAAATCAAAGGAAAATAATGTAAATTATCTGGAAGTAGCAATACAATATAAATATTGAGCAAAATTTCTACAAACTTTACCATACTCTATTAAAAAAATAAACATTATACATCAAGATAACAAAATCAAATTTAAAATCAGGGCGAATGGACTCAGGGCAAACAGATATTAACTTATTGAGGCTAACAAGTAATTAAGGTTGAATGTGAATCAGGGCGAACAGACCTGGATCCAAACTCCAGTAGGGTAACTCCTATAGGTCAAAAGGTCATGTTTATAAATTTTTCAGGTCACCAGTACCTCACTAATCAAAATGAAAAAACAGGTAACAGACAATTTACATCTTTAATTTCAACATAATTTTGGTTTTGGTTATGAATATCTTTCTTCTACATTTTTGGATAAATACTCATAATCCGGCAAATTCCAAGTTGAACCTTCTTCAGTAGGCCTATCCCACCAGAGACCAAATGATGCACAAGTTAGATATAGGTAATGATATGAATGCAACAATGAGCAAAAGCCATACCATTCAGAGGCGGATTTAGGGGGGGGGGGGGCCCTGGGGGCCCGGGCCCCCCCATTTGTGGGAAAAATTTGGTTGATTATATAGGGAATCACTGAAGCATGACTGGAGTGGGCCCCCTCTTAGGCAGTCAGTGGGCCCCCACTTATGTAAGTTTCTGGATCCGCCTCTGCCATCTAGCTAGCTATAAAAGGCTTTGAATAATATAAAATAAATCAAACAAGGAATTTAATGGTTTTGGGCAACTTTTGAATTTAAAAAAAGCTTTAACAATGTTAATTTTTGTGTGCATTTATTTTTGCTAATTTTGAATAATGGACAAAAATGTGAGATTGATTATTGTGATTTAAGAAAAATCTGCATACATAAAATTGAAAATGGAAATGGGGAATATCTCAAAGAGACAACAGCCAAAGGTCACCAATGGGTCTTCAACAACGCAGCGAGAAAATCCCGCACCCAGAGGTGGTCTTCAGCTCATAAATATGTATCAGATATAAGAATGCAATACAGCTCTCAGTCGCATTAATAAAAACCTCACAATAAGTTCTGAAAATCAGAATAAACAGTATTGTAAGATTCTCAAAGTGTACACATGGAGTTTAATAATATGAAACTTAAATTAATCATTCGAATTAAACATGTTAAAGATTGGCATACAACATGGAGTAGCCTTATGGCATTGTATAGTGTAATGAATTCAGGGGATAATGGCACTACCTCTTTGATTTTAAAGTCCTCAGAATCAATCCTTAATATTAATATGCATACTCTTGTACAAAGGAATATAAGTCATGTAAGTATGCAATAGACATATGATATGGTCTTCAAAAATAAGAGGTATCCATACTATACATTTATGACAAGATCTTAATCAAGTTTAAATTTTGGTTTGTTTAAATATTTCGTAGGTTATTATGACGTCCTTTTTATTATGCCCCCGCCGTAGCGGTGGGGGCATTAAGTTTTACCCTTGTCCGTCTGTACGTACACATGTACGTACGTCCCTCTGTACGTCCCAAAATTGGTTTCCGTTCTCTAGTTTGAGTTTGCCTCAACCAAATGTTATGAAACTTATACACAATGCTTATTACCACAAAACACAATTCAAGTTTGAATTTTGGTGGCGTCACTTTAACCGTTCTAGAGTTATGCCCCTTTATAAATGATAAAATTGCAAAATTTTTAGTTTCTGTTCTCTAACTTAAGTTTGTCTCAACCAAATGTTATGAAACTTATACACAATGCTTATTACCACAAAACACAGATCAAGTTTGAATTTTGGTGGCGTCACTTTAACCGTTCTAGAGTTATGTCCCTTTATAAATGATAAAATTGCAAAATTTTTAGTTTCTGTTCTCTAACTTAAGTTTGCCTCAACCAAATGTTATGAAACTTATACACAATGCTTATTACCACAAAACACAGATCAATTTTGAATTTTGGTGGCGTCACTTTAACCGTTCTAGAGTTATGCCCCTTTATAAATGAAAAAATTGCAAAATTTTTAGTTTCTGTTCTCTAACTTAAGTTTGCCTCAACCAAATGTTATGAAACTTTTACACAATGCTTATTACCACAAAACACAGATCAAGTTTAAAATTTTGGTGGCGTCACTTTAACTGTTCTAGAGTTATGCCCCTTTATAAATGGAAAAATTGTAAAATCTTTAGTTTCCGTTCTCTAACTTAAGTTTGCCTCAACCAAATGTTATGAAACTTATACACAATGCTTATTACCACAAAACACAATTCAAGTTTGAATTTTGGTGGCGTCACTTTAACCGTTCTAGAGTTATGCCCCTTTATAAATGATAAAATTGCAAAATTTTTAGTTTCTGTTCTCTAACTTAAGTTTGTCTCAACCAAATGTTATGAAACTTATACACAATGCTTATTACCACAAAACACAGATCAAGTTTGAATTTTGGTGGCGTCATTTTAACCGTTCTAGAGTTATGTCCCTTTATAAATGATAAAATTGCAAAATTTTTAGTTTCTGTTCTCTAACTTAAGTTTGCCTCAACCAAATGTTATGAAACTTATACACAATGCTTATTACCACAAAACACAGATCAATTTTGAATTTTGGTGGCGTCACTTTAACCGTTCTAGAGTTATGCCCCTTTATAAATGAAAAAATTGCAAAATTTTTAGTTTCTGTTCTCTAACTTAAGTTTGCCTCAACCAAATGTTATGAAACTTTTACACAATGCTTATTACCACAAAACACAGATCAAGTTTAAAATTTTGGTGGCGTCACTTTAACTGTTCTAGAGTTATGCCCCTTTATAAATGGAAAAATTGTAAAATCTTTAGTTTCCGTTCTCTAACTTAAGTTTGCCTCAACCAAATGTTATGAAACTTATACACAATGCTTATTTCCACAAAACACAGATCAATTTTGAATTTTGGTGGTGTCACTTTAACCGTTCTAGAGTTATGCCCCTTTATAAATGGAAAAATTGCTGAATTTTTTGTTTCTGTTCTCTAACTTTAGTTTGTACAACCAAATGTTATAAAACTTATACACAACCGTTCTAGAGTTATGTGTGTTTACAAATAGAAAAATTGCTAAATTTTAAGTTTCTGTTCTCTACTTAAGTTAGCCTCAACCAAATGTTATGAGACTTACACACAATGCTTATTACCACAAAGCTCAGATCAAGTTCAAATTTGGGTAGCGTCACTTTTACCGTTCTTCAGTTATGTCCCTTTATAACTATATGATATGAAAGCGGGGGCATCATCTGTGTCTTCATGTGTCCACTATCCACATTTATTTGTGATGATGTTTTCAATTAAAGTTAATCCAGAATTACGTGTTTATCATTTTTTTTATGTTTAGGTTGCCAGCAAGATGAAAAGAACAATGCAGTTCAAAAGTCAAAATGTGGATAAGCTGAGGTACAAGGTCCTACTTTTGCAGTTTTTCATATTTTGCATGAATGAATTTGAAGTTTATATCATGGAGGGATGAGAAAGAAAAGAAACACTTCAATTTTCCTGCTTCTGAAGGATAAATGTAAAACATCTTGTTTGGTAAGTTTTATGCTCTGTTTTGATAGTGTTTGTGCATCCATCTGTCTTTCTCTAAATTGTATTCGCTTAAAGTTTTTGGTTACAGTTCACTGTGAACTTCAGTTAGTAACTTGTGGCTTTACATGTATATACTCAAAATTTAGTAATTTAAAATGTTCATGTATTTTTGTCGAGCCAGCGACTTTTGTTGCAGAAAGCTCGACATAGGGATAGTGATCCGGCTACGGCAGTGGCGTTAGCTAAGTTCCTTTAAGCTTTATATTTTAGAAGGTGGAAGACCTGGATGCTTCATACATTGTATATAGATGCGTCATGATACAAACTCTGTCTGTCACATGTCCATTGTCCTTGACCTCATTTTCATGGTTCATTGGTCAATGTTTAGTTTTCTTGGTTAAGTCTGCTTCTTAGAAACTATAAGCAATAGGTCAACTGTATGTAGTATATTGAATGATTGTAAGGTGTGCATGTATTTCTTGTCGGGTTTATATGACCTTGAATTCATTTTCTTGGATCATGTTGAGTTTATGTGATAGTTGTAGTAAAGCTTTATATTTAGGACTATCAACATGATATCAATGATTAGTAAAGAAGGCGCGACATTTCAGCTTGTGCACTCTTGTTTATACATTATACACCACATTAACTGTTTTTACCCTGATTTTATGGATCACTGAACATAGAGATGTCATAATGTGAAATTATAGTACATTCTTAGGTTAAAGTTATAGGTTAAGGTACATATAGCTTATCATGAAGTTGACATTTCATACACATGTTCATTATGTGGTGAACTTTTATATTCAGTGCCAAACTAAGATTTTGAGCCTGATTACATGATTGACTAGACATTGACACATGCTAGTGTTTGCCAGGCATGGTGTCCTGTACTAGGAATTTGTTCTGTACTAAGAACTTTAATAGTACTCGCTGAGTATGGATTTTTTGTGAAAGTTTAATATTAGTGGGATTTTTGCATGACATCCTGTCAACTGCTTGTTGATCATGTTTATACATGTCTTAAAATTAATATCTGACACATTGGTGTTTTGTGAACTTGGAAATAAGTTATTTGATAGAATAATGTTTTGAGATTATTAAAATAAAAAATATCCCATTTTTACTATTAATTAATAATTAAGTATTAAAAAAAAGAAGATTTAGGATATATGCATAACCATATATAAAAATGAGACAGCAACCGAACAACACAAAAATAAAAAAAAAAACAATATAATTTTTTATATCAATGTTATAATTCATACATGTCCAAAGAGTTCAAGGTATTTTCTCATTGAAATAAAACACAAGTTGAACTCTTTTAGAACTTCAGAAGCTTAAAGAAGTGCTGTTTCCATTGTTGGCGTTTTGTATAATATATTGCAAATTCTTGTGAAAAATGGAATGTTATTGTAATTGCCTAAAGTTTTAACATTGATCTATATATATATATAACTGGGGAAAATACCCAAATGTTATAAAGAAGAATACATAAATTGATTGTTATATAATATTAGAATAGGAAGATGTGGTATATTGCTAATTTGACAATTCTCCATCAGAGACCAAAGGATGTAGGAGGTTAGCAACTGATGACACTGGACAACCTTCAACAATCAGTAAAATCCATACCGCATAGCTATTTTTATTAAAAATCATATGTTATTGCTACATGTATGCAAACAATTTTTTATTTTCCATAACTTTGGATTTTATTGGTTCTTTTTCAGAAGGATTGAAATTCATCACTTAGAATAAAAGGATAAAACACAGAAACAAGACCAGAATAAATTCAAAGACAAAAGTCAGATCAGTTAATATTTTCATCACTCAGTCAATGAATAGACAACTTTCGAGTTCGTTGCATTTCCGTCAAAAACTTTGGTTTTAGTGAACATCATTCGTGCGTTTAGGGGCGTCGTCACTTCAGTTCCTATGTTGAGCGAGTGGTTGGAAAAATATAATGCTAAATTGCACGAATCATTCGGAAAATTAAATTCCTATAATTGATATTCAGCACTGCTGTCATTAGGGAATTGTGATTAAGTACCTACGGAACCAATATTATTTCTAGTTTAACCTGCATAATGACGTCCACAAAGACGCTTGATGAACTTTAATGGAGCAGGAATACAGGCAATCCCCTCTACCTGGTAAATAAATAAATACCTGGTCACAAAGGCGCACAAAATTGACGAACTTTTCCGGTGAAGGACATAACTCGAAAGTGGTCTATTGAAGTTCTATTAAATACCTCAAGATATTAAAACCACAATAATGACAATGTTCTGTGTTGAATGGCCAAAAAGTGGACTATACAGTATGATCACACAATGCTGGATGATAAGAAACTATTAATTTTTTGGGTGGAGGGATATCCTGAAAAAAAATAGATTTATGTAAAAAGCTACTAGTATGTTAAGCCTAATAATAGAGTTTTCATTGATTTCAAATGGGAAATAATTGTGTTTCAAAAAAATATTCTAGAATTCATAAATAAACATATATTGATACTTACATTATCTGCTTTGTTGTTTAAAAGTTTAGTTTTGAACAGTTATAGAACAATATAATTGCATTAACATTTCAAAGGAAAAAAGATATTCAACTAAAAAGATTCATCTTAAAACAATTTACTACCAAACAGAATTCATTGTAACATACACATTACTGTATATTTATAATTTGAATCCCATAGGACTTTAATTTTGTCCCATGGGATATTAAAAATCCCATGGGATAATTATAGTCCCATGGGATTTATTTTGTCCCATGGGACAACAAATATCCCATGGGACTACAATTATCCCATGGGACCCAAAAAAATCCTATGGGATTTAACCAAAATCCCATGGGATAATGGTCAATCCCATGGGATTTGCCGTATCCCATGGGATATTGAAAATCCCATGTTTTTATAAATCAAATTACAAAATATATATAATAATAACAGCAGAAAAGCAATGAAATTATTGAATCCCATGTAATTCCGCACATTTTGGTTATATACACGACACTGTAGCTCTAAGGAGAGGCGGCGGCGGATTTGCAAATGAGTGTTTTGCAAATTAAAAGTGTCCAGTGTTAGTAGTTCGATATTTTAGATTTCGCAAATTTAAAGTGTCGAGCATCAATTTTACCTATGTGCAACCCTGCTGTATGTGCCAAATCGGGAACCTGTAATTCAATGGTTGTCGTATGTTGCTGCATGTCATATATGTTTTTTCGTAGATTGCTTTGTACATAAATCAGGACGTTAGTTTTCCCGTTTTAATTGTTTTACATTTTTCATGTCGGGGCCTTTTATAGATTGATATATGTTATGGGCTTTGCTCATCGTTGAAGGTCGTATGGTGACCTACAGTTTTGATTTTTACGTCATTTGGTCTCTTGTCGAAGGTTATGTCATTGGCAATCATACCACATCTTCGCCATCTTCGCAGTTTTATATAGATGCCGTCCATTTGCATCTAGTATATTAAACTAAAGGGATTTTTTAAAGAATAAATGTAGACAGTCATGCCAGGCCCTTACTTTGGACTTTTAATGTATGCATACGTGAGTTCAACCACCATAGCAAAGCAAAACTATATGCCTCTGCCTTCACTTGCAACAAGTGTGGACAAAATTATTATGAGTTAAGTTAGAAGGGGAAGTCATGTTAGCGACTAACTTTGGGTCTATTTTGTTGATCACACTTGAACTGTTGGTGCGACAAAACTTAACTTATTTATAGGCCTATTATATTTTTAACGAAGAAGTAAGAATGCGGTGGTCATGTAGTACCCCAACTTTGGACTCTTATGTTTTAGTCCTGCCTTAAGTCTATATATGGGTCTTTTGGTCCAGATAACCAGTATCTATTATTTGAGCCATGTGTGGACACACGTATGGTAGTCTATTTTTACGAGTTAATATAAGGAGGGGATAGTCATGCCTCTACTTTGAGCATACGTTTAGGCTTCCGTGAATTACCAACCTTGGTCTTTTGAACCATCAAATTAAAGGCCAGTGCCTTTCACTTTCATCTGGCTTTTGTGGACAAATGGATTGCCGTAGGGATACTTTTTATTTATTAATTATATGTATCTTAAAAAAAAAAACGGAAAAAAAAACAATACGATCCTCCTATCTATGGTCGACTTCAAAAGCATTTCTGTGTCTTCTTATTTGCAGCTTTGAGGTAAAAAAAAACAAACAATTAAAACATTTATCTTTTCTTCTGTATATTGTTATTTTGGGTTGATGTCTTATTGACACTTATTTAAATTTTAAAAATATTTTGTTTTACGGCGACAGGAAACATAAGTATTAGTACATTTTTAAAACCTTTAAAATATACTTTATTTCACATAATAAGACTAGACATAAATATAATACGACCAATAAAAATTATATAATATGTAAAGAAACAAAAATATATATAAATAATTTTGGCTATAGACAGACACGCTCATTATGATACCAGTTCATTAGTACTAAATAAAATAAATTCCATATGTACATTTAAGTCGCTAACATTCTTAATATAATATAACAATATACAGAAAATATGGCAGTTGTGTGGTTCCATACATTGTACTTATTTTTATACAATGAAAGAGCACAGTTTTTATAAAAAAATTTATATCAATTATAGTCCATTGCAAACCAACGAATATGATGTATATTTATATGAAATTATAAAATATCGAAATAATTTTACAACGTTCTTGTTGACACAGAGTTTCTATTTTTTATATAAACTTTAGGGTTATAGAATGATTTGCCTTGAAAATAATACGTCGACAATTGCAACTGTTGCAAAACTTTTCGGAAAATTTCATATGTAAAACTTAGGCTTTTTGACTTTCAAAAACAGAATTTGCAATATCAGGTATACATGAAAAAGAGAATAGAGTTTACTAATTTAATAATCGGTTTCTATAAATGATAGATCTGGTTATCGAATGAGATAAAAACAGCTATCTTTAGTAGTATATTAAGTCTTTTACACTTGAAATGTTTCTAACATTTTTTTTACCTATTTATGTTTTATAAATAAACACTCTGGTTAATGTTTTATAATTTTGTTGTATAAGAAGTTCCATGGACTGACAAATCCTTTTAAACCCTACATTGTGTAACTACCAACAACACATCCTGCAGTTCGTCTTTCAACTGGTTGTTACAGACATCAAAAACATATTTCTGTATGTTTTTACATATTCTCATACGTAGGACCCGATCTTGTTTCTGATGTCATTTGCGCAACGCCTTTGTACAGTACAGGTCCATTTTCGTGTAATAACAGGGCAGGCCAAACGATATGATCAATGACGTCACCGGATTTTGTGTACGATCGAAACAGATCAGCTCTTTCAACGTCTGTAACTATAACAACAGGTGGTATTTGTAAACATATCGACCAACAAACTTCAAAACACTGATCAATATATTGTCTTAATGATTTGTGGGTTAAAATATCTTGTCTCTTCTTGTCAACAAATTTCTTATTCAGCAGACTGTACATTGCCTCCTGCAACAAATTACATTTATAATTAAAGCAAAAATGAAAACCCGTCTATACTTTTTTGGAAAAAAACTTTGTTCATTCAATAAAAATTGTAATATCAAAACGAAATCCATTCGTGTGTCATATATTTATCAATTGTTATATGATTGACTGCTTGATTGTTGGTTGCTTAACGCCCAGTGGCAAATATTTCATGCATGTACAGGACGAGGATAATTACATGAACATGCAGGCAAGATTGAATGTAAATACTCTTAAATAAAAAAAAAAATAATAAATAAAAACCATCTATTTCTTAGAAACTTTAAGAAAGACAATCTCTGAACAAAAGGAAAAATTTCAAAACTATATGTAACTAAATTTCAAACATAATTTAGTTCGATAAGAATTGTAATTATGTTAGTACTGATTCGAAACTTTACACTGCATGTCAAAAACATGATTGGGACACGAACTATGATCGATCTCACTTACTTCATCTACTTAACCTAAGTATATTTTTACTTCATCTACTTAACCTAAGTATATTTTTCCTTTGCAAAAGCTAAATTTATAGTAACTCTCGAGAAATTAAGATTCCGTTTAAATTATGTAATATCCTTTACCAATCTTAATCCTCCCGCTAAAATTTCATTTATTATCGATACTGAATATAATCTGTAATATTGTGTCTTGTACATGTATCTCCACGTTGTTTCGGAATATATATACGAGAGTCGCCGTTCTAAAGAGTTATTTACTTTAACTTGCTACGGTACAATATGTAATCATGTAGTAATTCTGGCATTATGAAAATGATCTGATTCCAATTGCAACAAAATGTTATTACAAAATATACCTGATTTTGAGTGACCATGCAATTTAGAGGTTGATAGCAATTTACAAAAATAAATCGATTGCATGGGGGACATGCATGTTATAACTGCCAGTTTTTGGTAGGAAAAACATGGTATATAAAGAAATAAGGTTGAAATATAACATTTATTTTTATTTTAAATATCTGCTACTAGAAAATGACAAAAAAAAAAAGGGTGGTGGTGTCCACTTCCCAAGCGACTGCAAATTAAAAAGAGGGACAGGATGCAAAAAAGCAATCAAAAGACGACGAAAAACAGACAATACCATGGCCAACAAGTAAAACTAAATAAAAACAAAAAAGGCCATAAAACACAACTCAAACAACTATAGATTGAAACAGCTAGGAACAACGTCTACCGATAGATATAACTCTACATGATAAATGGGGTGGAAAAAAGTCATTAATACTCATTGTTGAAGACCGTTTGGTGACCTATATTGCTCACTTCTACATCATTTTGTCTCCGGTGGATAGTTGTCAAATTTTCAATCATGTCATATCTTCTTATCTTTACAATGTCCAAAAGAAAGAAGCATGAAAAGAAAGAAGAACAGATACACAAAAGTCCACAGCACAGAGAACTGAAACCATAACGAACCCCACTAAAACGGGGAAGAAATCAGGTGTTCCGGAAGGATTGTATTTCATTCTTCATTATTGGCAGCCATCATATTACTAATTAACCGGTAAAACCCGAAACTGAGTCGCATTCGGGGAAGTCATAAACGAGGACAAGAGATTGTCAACACATGTTTCCTGTCTTGGTGTGTACATATACAATGTATCATCTATTTTATACATAGTTAGAATGTACATTATTGTTTTTGAAGTAATTGTAATTTTCAAAAAAACTTGCTGCTATTATTTTGTCAACACATCATCATTTTAACTTCTTACAACTCTATATAAATAAAACAAAGTTTTCATATACATTCAAGAGGTGTGTAATTTACACGATTGAAAAATGGTGGTTTTAACGCAGAGACAGAACATTTAGACTATGTAAAGGCGAATAAGGTACAAGACTTCGTACGAGTATAGAGTATACACAGGGAGAGCATTTTACTGCAGGTTATAAGGTTTGGTTTTCCAAAGGGATAGAGGGAGAGAATTGTCCAGAGTTTTTTAGTCGATAGTAATTAGAATAAATTTCGGTAATAATTTTAAACGTCATTCACATGCTTATCAAAATGCAATAAGAATAAAAATATTGTTCCTGACCTTTAATTTCTTCTACAAGAATTATGAGATTGTATACATAAAAAATATCTTCAGCGTAACTACTGATGGCATTTCATAAATACTTCATAATGAAACAATCGTCGAAAGGAAATAGCTTCGACGCCAATTGAAATGCAACTGGTTGATAATTCAAAACAAGGGATTCATACGTTGTTTATTTAATATAAACAGAAAACATATAGGAAAACTGTCAAGTAAGAGAACTATTTATCTCATGGTTTTTTCAAAAGGAAAGAAGGAGGGAATTGACTTGAGTTTACTTATGTGTATTTCTCTCGGTTCTCAACAGTAATAAGAATAAGAATAAATTTCAGTAACCATTTTAGATGTCATTTATGCACATGCTTATCAAAATGCAGTAAGAATAAAAATATTATTCCTGACCTTTAATTTCTTCTACAAAAAGGATGAGATTGTTATATATAAATATCTTCTGTGTAACTGCTAATGGCTTTTCATAAATACATACAAATCTCTTCATAATGAAATAATTGTAGAAAGGAAATAGCTTCGACGCCAGTTGAAATAAAACTGGTTGATACTAAAAAAACAAGGGATCAATAGACAGGTATTTTCGATTATCTGCCTTAGTTTGTGGCGCGAGTTGATTATATAAAATAAAAAGACAACAGATGGGAACATAGTCAAGTAGTAGAAATATTTATATCATAGCCTTGTTGGAGTGCACTAAAACGATATATTCGACAAATTTAAATTGATCCAAAACTACTTTATACGTCATGCGCTTTGTAAACCTTCCCATGCTGTTTGTAGATCTAAATTAATAGATGAATCAAGTCAGGTTATCTGACTAAATAGGTACCAGAGTGATAGTCGATTGTATACATTGTATGTGGTTTTTTTTCCTTCCCTGCCTTCCAAACAAATTCCACTTTGTGGCAGGCTGCTGAACTTAAACGATATCAGTATGCTGAAAAATTAATATCAATTTCCCAAACCTATTATCAGTTCAGAGTTTTAATCATTGGAAAGTACTTTTTCCAGGAAAATCGTAAGTATACTAGTACGTCAAAGATATGAATCATGATCAAAGATGTTTTGTGTAATTTATTTGACTACTACTACTAGGTATGTGTGTGTGTGTGTGTTGGGGGGGGGGGGGGGGGGGGGTAACTACCTTGACTACCCACGAGGATCTCTCGCTGTCGGCCCGGACTTACGCCATTTTGGGCATTTTGATATTTTGTTTTTACCTTACAGTTTCTGCTAAAAGGCAGACAACTCGAATATTACAAATTTACAACCACCTACTACAAATGCCATTATTAAGGTTTGATACCTTAATAAAATTGGAAGTAGGTTCTTGAGATGAGAAAAGCACGTCTAGGATAGTATACCTTGACATGTTTATCTTGTGTGTAATTTATATCTTTTGCAGACAAAAATCTCGAACATTGCAATCTGATGTCATCTTTCTTTGCCGTTTTTGATTCCCCATTTTTGCCCATTTCCACATTCTGTAAACAAACAAAAAGGGTATTGAACACCTTAAACATGTTAAAATAAATTTGAACTGTGATCAAATCAGTTGTTTAGAAAATATCAGGTGTACAGAGAAGGACATTTGTTTTTTTTCGTTCAGAAATATATTTGACAGTTGTAGTGTATTTAACGTAGTTATTATATCATCAGGGAAGTAACGCATAGATCTTGAATAATTAACTTATCCAAAAAGACTTTATTTAAACAGTAAAAGACAAAAATATTTAAACATACTATTTACTTGTCAATAATTTCTTTCCGTATTGTGAGTAATAAATACATATGTACAACGCTATGCACATCCTCTCGTAAAATTATGAAGCATATAAATGCAGAGTGTACCAAGCCAAGCAGTGGTATTGGCAACCTTAAATTTTCTTTAACTTGGAAATTAAGTTATTTTCCACCAAACGAAGGCGACTTTGCTTTCGATATAGTTCAATGTGTGTTAATAAATTATATGAATGGTTTTATGGTTCACAATAAAATAGCTTGTTATGTTTTTGCATATATATAAGGTTATGTTTTTTTAATCTCCTACTATAATTGTATTCCACTTACTTGGTATATGTCTATGTTTTCTTCAGAGACTTGTTTTTCCAGCTTGATACCCAGTACCAATGATGCAAATGATTTTAATCTTTTTTCTCGTTGCAGTTTACAGTCTTCATATATAGCCTGAAATATATAGTTTTACACTGAATCATTATTCAGTAAGAAGCCTTCTTACTATACAAATCCTTGATTAATCCAAACCAAAAAACATGTCGATTCTATGAAGTCTAATGTGAATTTACGCTTCATTGAATAAATTTAAATGGGGAATGCCTATCGTTTTTCGATTAACTTTTCTGCTGTAAAAAGAAAATGTATTTTGAAGATATCCGTTACAAGAAATAGGTGTTATAAGTTTAACTCGGGTTACAATGGACTAAAAAAAACTTTAAAAACAGAAAATTTAAATCCTGAACAAATTTATATTTTGTTCAGTACATGTATATGATAAAGATATATATAAAAACAGACACACTTCTTTTTTTTATTACTAGATTTCACGAAGAGAAAATACTTCTTAATTATTCAATGTAAAAAAACTAAAAGTAATACAGAAAATAAACCTGTCGTTACTTACATGGCGATGATGCACGAAGTAAAAAAGCTTTTTGAGCCTATAGTTTCTGTAGATACAATTTTAGCTACTGATTGCCTGTTCCTGCTTTTACAGGATTTATGATTTTTATGTTTTGACTTGTATGCGACAAACAATAACTATTACATCCAAAAGAAAGAGACTAACGAAAGAGATTTTCTTTGTCTATATCAATTGATTCGCAATTAAAGCACTTGCCTTTAACACATCTAATAACACTTCTATGCTTTCTTTCTCTTGGAATTTGTGTCCATCTAATGCTTCCATGGCGTCTGTCCAGTGGTTGTCGTATAGTTCTGAGAATCGTTCACTTATCTTACTGGGTCTGTTATCGTCTCCCAAGTTTGCAATGCCAGGGTTGTTGTTTGTCAGCCGCATACCTGCTTGTTCTGATAAGCTTTGTATGAATTATAATATTTAATTAAACTTTAGGCAAAAAAATAAAATGACGTCACAGAGAGTTTGAGAGATTTTGACACACTTAGATGGGTGCTATTTTCAAGAACTTACTGCAATTGATGTTCATTAATTGTGCAAATTTACCGAAATAAATGTTATTTCATTGATTTTGTGAATTTATTAACCCGTGAATAAGAAGTACTAATAAAAATGATAAAAAAGTCAATTTGAGAACATATCATAATCATCATTCGATTTTGCAATTTGAAGAAATGAATTTAAGGTCAGGAAATAGAATTTGAGCTTTGTAACAGACAGATGTAAGATTTTGCACACCACTTTGAAATGTTGAGCTCGGACTGCAAATGGGAAAAAATCAATGAACTGTTCCTTTTGCAAGAATATTATTGATTTGAATTGTTTACAAATAGGTAAACATTTGTGTAGAAAGAAAAACTTTCTCAAAACTACCCCCAAAACAAGTTTTTTAACACCAAGTCCATTGATTTTTCTTAAAACAACATGACTGTTATTGCTAGATAAAAAGATGATGATGTTAAGTAACCAAAGGCTCACCGCTTTTGGTGTTTGCATAAACATCAGTCAAAAAGGTGTTTTTGGTGATTACAAAATACCATAAAACTTCGAAATAAGCATAACAAGTTTGTGAAGTACACATCCATATATTGGTAGTATATCATAAACGAAGTAGGCGACCCTATGATTGTTTGATATCAGTCAAACGGGAAAATGTTTCATGTGTACACCTAATGTGTTGGAACTTTGATCAGTCTAGAATCTGAATACAAGATATCAATTAAAATGTGAACAATGCACACGTATTAGTATTGAACATATATCAGGATGTGGGTTAGAACACGTTTTGGTAATTTAAAATCTTTAAAACAAAACAAAGACATTTATCGCGTTCCTTTTGCGTTGAAAATTAGAGCAATTTGTATATCAAGCAATATTTGACCTTATGACATTTGTGCTTTATTTTGTTCATGCTTGTATACAACTGAAATAAATCTTGTCATAATGGGGCATTGTAAAGATTACTACGTGTAATTTTACTATACAGTATATGTTTTGCTCATTGTTAAAGGTCGAACGATGACCTATAGATGTTTACATCAACGTCTTTTGACCTCTGGTAAAAAGTTTCTCATTGGCCAGCATACCATATTTCCTCGTTTTTGTATACGTACTCATTTAGTAGTCGCTTCTTTTCATACTGCAGTTCTTTGAGTCGTTTGATATTCTCCACAGAGTTAGGGCTCTGAAATAATAAATCGGAGTGAATGGCATTTTTTTTTTTACAAATTCTGAAACCGTAAATCAAGGTCAATTCGATTTATTTACAACATATGAACCGTAAATCAAGGTCAATTCGATTTATTTCCAACATATGAAATCGCAAATAAATGTCAATTCCATTTGCATGTTTAAACCTCCATGGTTTTCTTAACGAAATGAATCATTCCTCATAAATGGGGATAGTTCGATTGAATAAAGATATTGCATTGCTTATCCTATGGTAAATAGTAAATTGTTGAATTTCTGAATCATATTTCCATAGCCAAAATTCGGTGTTAGGAGGTATTATATTTTCCGGTTTTTTAATTAGGGTTACAATCCATATTTGCGTTTCAATGATCAATAAAATGTGATAGTGCGAACGGGGCATGGCCATAAACTCTAGTTGCTACATATTATATAATTCAGAATCGTGGACCTCCATTTACTCAGGGTCTTGAATGTGATGAGTAGATCATATGTCAGTGTTTTTGCTGGTTCAATGTTGTATAAATAATGGATCATAATGCGACAAAAAAAATAACTTAGACACTTAAACCTGTTGGATCGATAATGTTGTTATCTATTTCAAATGGCAATGTTAATGTATACTCTTGATTGAATTCTTATTTAGATTTAAAATATACAAAATATATTTTAAATGTTTATACTCATAAAGTACATTGTTTACATAGGTGACAGTTTTATATCTAAAACACTTCATTTAGAAGATCAAATTATTCATATGTAATAAAAAATCAATATGAATATCTGTTTTCATAATATACTGTCATACTTCATAATCGCTATAAAAATATCAGAAAAGTAATTCTTACCTCATCGTCATCGCTACTGCACATAGATATTCTGTCAACATTTTTCTTTTCTAATTTTGCCTGTAATGGAAATATGTTATTTGTTGGTGATGCTTTAAGTTTATTCTAATATAATTATCGTCATGGTATTTTGGAATGTTCGTTACTATATACTTTTACCTTTTTTTTTTATTTGGTCCTTTTTTACCCAGGTTGGCAATGCAACAGGCCAATTTTCCATGCAAAACATGTGTTGTGGAGATGTATAAATTCCCTGCCACGTCCGGTATGTGTTTTTGTTAGTTGTGTTTCTACTTTGTGTCTGTCTGATGAGTTAAGCCCTTTTCAACTGATTTTTATCGTTTGTTATTATGTTTACTGTCACACTACTGTTCCAGTCATGGGGAGGGTTTGGCGCCAGCAAACATGTTTAACCCCACCACATTCTATATGTGCCTGTCAATAGTCAGGAGCCTGCAATTAAGTGGTTGTCGTTTATTGCTGTTTCTCCTATTTGTTTTTCGTTTATTGTTTTGTATAGTTTGTTCTTATGTTGTGCCGTTGCACCATTATCCCAGGTTAAGGGGAGGATTGGCGCCTTCAAACATGTTTAACACCGCCACATTCTGTATGTGCCTGTACCAAGTCAGGAGCCTGAAATTAAGTGGTGGTCTTTTGTTGCTGTATATCATATTTGTTTTTCGTTCATTGTTTTGTACCTAAATCAGGCCGTTATTTTATCGTTCAAATTGTTTTACATTTGTCGTTTCATGGCCTTTTATAACTGACTATGCGGTATGGGTTTTGCTCATTGTTGAAGGCCGTATGATGACTTATATTGACTGTCATGATAGTTGTTAACTTCTACATGTATGTCATTTGGTCTCTGGTGGATAGCTGTCTCATTGGCAATCATGCCACATCTTCTTATTTTTATAATTAATACAACCATAAATGAAATTTAAAAAACATACAACTCAACTACGTTTTTATGATGATTTAATATTCATTTCTTTCAAAACAATAGTTTTAGGAACTACATGTATTCATAAACTTCCCAGTTGAAAAAAATATTTAATTGAAGAAATCTTATGAAGGTGTGGATGGGGTTTATGAATAGATAATAATTGACCCGAAAAATAAACTACTTTTTACACATTGTGACTTGAATGGATAGTTGTCTCATTGGCACTCATACCACATCTTCTTATTTATAAATACTAGTCGTTGAAAATTGGCAAAAAAAAAATTAAAGAGAAGTATTGGCAAAAACAATCACGGATAGAGAAAAATTGCCCAAAAATTTAAATAATCTAAAAAATAATAATAAATACCAAAAGAAAAACAACATATGATTCTACAAAACACAACCATCATTTACTGACATATTTCGATTATTTTGCATCTCATGTACTAATGATTTTTGAGCTTTGATAATAATGACACCAAAATATCTCCGCATTGTCTATACTAAGGGGTCTAATAAGCACTAAAAGAGCTATAATGTATCTCATGGACTGAAATAAATGTCCAGAAGACAGACAAGACAATGACTGAAAGAATATTAACATAACGTCAATGGTCAAGATCAAAATACAGTATTACATGTATATGCATAAACAGTTCTTCCAAATGGGTAAGCAGCTTTTTCTTGATTCGCTAGTGGAACCATATTAAATTTGACAAAAGTCTCAAGTTACCTTTAATACGATTAATTGTTTATCAGCTGTCGATACCCATTCAAACAATTCCTGGTTTGGATCCGCAGTGTTATCTTGTATTAACCTTTTCAATTCCCTGCTAAGCTCCATGTATTCCATAACCGTACTAAAGTGACAGAAAACAGAAATTATACAATGAAATTAATAAATCACCATGTATATACTCTGTGTCCAACAAGACTATTAGTTGTATAATTCTTTGAAGAAAAACCTGTTTAACAGACAAATATATTTTAAATGTTCACATTTTGTTTTAAACTGATCCCTTGCTAGGATAACATTTTCTTCTTAGAAAATGACTGTTGAAGTAAAAAATAAGGAAATAAGATGTGTTTCTCATTTAAATGTTTTCCTCATAACTGAGAGTCCTAATGTTGCCAATCCGTGTATTGGATGCAATAAAATGTTGATTAACAAAAAGATAAACAACGTCCAAACTTCAAAACAATCTACAAATGTACCATGACAATTCGTTCAAAGTATAATGTTTAAGGAAGGATTCTCTGGAATATTGAGTGGTATATATAGAAATACGGTCAAATCTTGATCTTCTTCCGACCGCCAGTAAAACCCTTGCTAAATTGGGACGTCCGTTTTGGCTTTGTGGGATGTATAAATTCGCAGCCACGTCCGGGTAGAAAATGGACGTTAATTCCGATGCATCGTGTTGAGAGAGAGTCGCGCTCTCAGCACGTTAGGAACCCTTGCAACAACTCTTCGAGGGGTCTGTAGGCAAACAATAATCAATCATTCGATTAATCAATATAGCATATTGCTGATTTGAAGGAGATTGCACTAATTACAGCAGCTCCAAAAAATGGAACCAGAAATCAAGGACCATACAACACTAGTGAAATAAATTAAAAATCCTAGATATCTAATATTATTGATCATTTGTGTCGTTGGATTTCTGTCTCATTTACGTGTATACTACATCTCCGTTTAGTCGTTGTATATAGACACGAGAAAAACAATACGAACAAAGAGCTTATAAAAGATCTATTGGAAACCATGATTTCAAAAAACATCGTATTATACAAGTTGTTTAATTTTTTTCCCCAAGTACTGCGGAAGGATATACATTGTATTAACACAAATAATTGAGTAGGTCGTATAAAAAATTATTCAATAATATCAAAATCATGTTTCATACTTTAAATGTTCTAGTAATATTTTATGTTTTTTCTCTATCTTTCCGGTCTTCATCAATGAGCAAAACCAACATAGTAAAGTATAAAAGGTTCTGAGATAATCAAATGTGGACAAATTTAATATAGAAAATTAACGAAATGACTTAAGCGAAAACATCACACAAAAAATACTAGTAGTTATGACAGACGACACACATGGGACTACAGATTCTGGTTAAGGGACAAGCACATAGAGAATGTTGCAGGTTTAAGTATGTTTTTGAGCGCTCACCCTTTTCCTTATTTTGGGACACTGGTCATTGCTAGTGTAACAACGCATCATTTGAAAAAAAACGGTTAAAAAATCTGACTAGATTTGCACTAACCACAAAACCACTAAAAAGTACCGATCTAAGAATCCTCGCAATTGCTGCAATATAGCCCAAAGCCCAATATATGGAACGCCTAAGCTGCCTTATGATAACGATAATCATATCATTAAGGGTTGAGATATATATGAAAAAGTCCATAACACTGGAAGGAAAAATCAAAATTTCACCAAACATTATACAGACCATTAGACTATCAATAAAAACAACAGTGTAAAGTTTAAAGTTTATTTTCATAGTGATAAAATTCTTAATTTTGGGTTGAATAGTTTTTTGTTATAAAGCGCACTTATTCAGGTAGATGTAATATGCAATAACTTTTGATAAGAAATGATACTTATATAATTTTCCATGTGCTAAAAGTTGTAAGCCCATGTAATCTGCACTTTTTATGGACCTACAACTTTCTCAAAATTTTGATGCCCTTCTTTTGCAAAAGATATTGCTATTGATATTAACTGTTACCCTTTTGAGTATAAAGTCGGCAATAAAAACATTAGAATGTTATCACTGTAAAAATATGACAGTGGCTCCGCAAACGAACAATTCGTACGATTATTCGCCAGGCTCCTCGTAAGAATTTTTTTTTTACCCAATACTATTTCAGGAAATTGTTTGTATAACTAGTTGTGAGGCTCTTAGTATGAATACCAGGGATTTCGTCGTATTAACATTCATTAACTGCGATGGTTGTTCATCAATTTAAAAGATAATTGACAAAGTTCAAAGTGAATAAAATTTACTTTATTTCTTTTTAAGTTATTGAAGGCTATTGATTTTTCCAGAAGGAATTTAGAAATATGTATTCTCAATAATTTCATAAAGAAGTGCGAGCAAGACTCTGTGTTACTTTACCAAAAATCTTCAAAACCAACAATTTCGTTACTGAATTGATATTTCTCCCCAAATTTGTGCAACTCAGAAAACAACAAGGTCCCGTTTTTTCAGCTTCTATATATATAAAAAGAAAATGTGGTATGATTGCCAATGAGACAACTCTCCACAAGAGACCAAAAGACACAGAAATTAACTACTATAGGTCACCGTACGGCCTCCAACAATGAGCAAAGCCCATACCGCATAGTCAGCTATACAAGAACCCGAAATGACAAATGTAAAACAATTCAAACGAGAAAACTAACGGCCTAATTTATGTACAAAATAATGAACGAAAAACAAATATGTTACACAGCAACAAACGACAATCACTGAATTACAGGCTCCTGACTTGGGACAGGCACATACAAAATGTGGCGGAGCTAAACTAGTTTGAAGGCGCCAACCCTCCCCCTAACCTCGGACAGTGGTGTAACAGTACAACATAAGAACAAACTATAGAAATCAGTTGAAAAAGGCTTAACTAATCAGATGGATACAAATAGAAATACATCTAACAAAAACACAGAGTGGACGTGGATGGGTACTTATACATCCCCACAACAAAAAGACACTAAGTACAGATCTGAGAGTATTCGCAGTTACTGACAGTTAGTTCAAAGCCAATAACAACCAATAAAAGAAGTCTAAGACTAAAATATAAATCAGTAAAGTCACAGTACCCAAATAGCACCTAGTACCCAAATTGCACCTATTTAGCAAAAATAGCAGCGAAAATCTTACAAGTTTTCTTAGGGACTAAACAATCTGTATTTTTTTATTATTTGACATTATGCACGTCTTTCAAATAGGTAAATATATTTAAATATTCACAAAACGTTCACAGTATATATCAACAGATGAAGTATTCACTGGAAAAAGTAAAATCTACGGAAACGTCGCCATGCGACGTCCACAAAAAGTCATCTTTAAAAAATGAGCAAATAAAATATGTTACGAGCATCCATTTCTTAAAAAATGAATAGTAAGCATGGACTTATGTCAAATTGTTCTAAATATTTGAAGAAATCAAACAAAACATCTGTTATTCGATTTTTAAGGATGTGAATTTAAGCATGGATGCAATTTGGGTATTACTCATTACAGAATCATGGATCGTTTGGAGGCCGGTTCAACCCTATTTTTCTAGGATTCAATATGGATTCAAAATTAAATTGGTAAAACTATATAATAATAGAAATTAAGGATACATCTACAAAATAAACACAGAATGGAAACTTTTGTCTGGATCATAAATAAACGTTGGTGAAAAAACTGTCAAAATACGTGCAATTTGTGTACCCTCACGTTACACATCCAACATCCAATAGATTTAGTGTAAAGACGTCATAAACCTGTTTAAATTGTTGGCTTGTGTTTAATGAGTCTTTAATGCATTGCATTCAGTGTTGATTTTCTTGCTAGTTCAAGATCTTGTTTTTTACGCTTTCATCTTTAGATATTTTGTTATGAACTGCCAAATGGGTCAAGTTTGTTTATATACCTCAAGCTACTTTCACATCCCAAGATTATCAAGGACGAAATGGTTAATTGGTATGAATGTTTTCTCAAGATAGACAAATGCTATCCATTTTTTTCTTTATAACAACATTTATTCCTTTTTTATACGCACGTCAAATTTTGACGGGACGTTTATAATTAATATGGTATACAAATGTCCGTCCATCCATCTGTTCGTCGTACCACCGTATCTTGAGAATTTACACAGATGTTTGTTATGATAGTCTTACGGTTTGTATATTTTGTGGTGAAATTTTGATTTTTCCTTCCAGAGTTATGGACTTATTCATTCAAAAAGGAGGGAGGCAATTTTTCACATGTCACACTGTATCTTGAGAATGCCTTGCCCGATTACCAAAACAAACTTTAAACTGCAGTCCGTTCTTTGGGTGATGGTCTCCAGGTCTGTATACTTTTTGGTGAAATTTTAACATTTCGTTTTAGTTTTATGGACTTTATTCATTAAAAAAGGGGGGTTTCACGTCGCTCTGTATCTCGAGAATGCCTTCCTTGATAAACATCAAACTTTACACTGTCGTTTTTAATGATAGTTTTATTATCAGTATACATTTTTGTGAAATTTTGATTTTCCTTCCAGAGGAATGGACTTTTTTCATATAAAAAGTGGGGAGGCAATTTTTCACATGCCATATTCACCTCGAATTTATTAAATTCTACGTAAACAAAAAAAAAACTTGCGCCTTTTTTATATTCAGCATTACTGTTATATCAATACGTCTTTATAGTACAAAGATGTATTATCATGGTATAGTAATCTGTCAGAATAGCATAGTGAGGTAATAAGATAGTATGAAAAGGTGGCTCAATATTACATCAAGATGTCTTTGTAGTATACGACTTTATCGTCGTAAGATAGTAATATGACAGAATAGTATGAAAAAGTTGTTCCATGTTATATCGAGATGATAGTATAGTATACAAATTTATCGTAATAAGATAGTAACATGACATAATAGTATAGTGAGTTGACAAAATAGTATGAAAATCTTGCTCAATGTTATATTAAGATGTCTTTATAGTATAAAATGTATCTTAATGATATAGCAATATCGCATAACAGTATAGTAAAATGACAGAATAGTATGAAAAGATAGCTTTATGTTATAATCAAGATGTCTTCATAGTATAAAAGAATATCTTCATGACAAAGTAAAATGACAGAATAGTATGAAAAGGTAACTCCATGTTATATCGAGATGATTGTATAGTATACAAATTTATCGTAATAAGATAGTAACATGACATAATAGTATAGTGAGGTGACAAAATAGTATTGGAAAGTTGCTCAATGTTATATTAAAATGTCTTTATAGGATAAAATGTATATTTATGATATATCAATATCATAATAATAGTATTGTAAAATGACAAATCAGCATGAAAAGGTAGCTCCATGTTATATCAAGATGTCTTTATAGTATAAAAGAATATCTTCATGACAAAGTAAAATGACAGAATAGTATGAAAAGGTAACTCCGTGTTATATCAAAATGTCTTTATAGTATATAAATTTATCTTAGTGATATAGCATATTGACAGAGTAGTATAGTCAAATGTCGTAATACTATATAACATTTGTTTCATGTTATATCTCAACCCTTAATGATATGATTATTGTTATCATAAGGCAGCTGTGGCGTTCCATACCAAATATTGCAACTGACAAATGCTTTCTTAGAACACTGTGCTTACTAAACTGAGTAGGTCATCGATTACTTTTGAACTCTTCCCTTTCACTATGAAATCTTTTATTGCAACGCTAAAGGCTATGGGAGTGACGGGGTACTATATATATATATTGAAAGGAGAAAGGGTGAGTCAGTGACATAAGTCTTTTTGCCATGCTCGATAATACTTGATAAGGATGCAAAACTAACAAAATATACATTGCAAGGTAAATAATATTATTTGCATTACTAATGCAGCTATAAATATCCACCACTTATCAGAACTTTAATCGAATGACACAAGTTAAATATCATTTAGTGGTCTGATACTTGTCGAATTGTGTTATCTACTTAGCTCGCCCAATTACATGTACATGTATCAAGGTAATTGATATAGAATTTCTGTCAAAAATTATATGATAAGGAATACTTTGAAAATACTTAATAATATGTTGCCCTCTTAATGTCTTTTGTTTATTTTTGTTGGTCGGGTGCTTTCAAGGGACATGGTGTGTCCATAACATAAAATCCAACCGAGCACCTAACAAAACTCACAGCAAAGGAACAACACTTTTATTGCTGTTTAATTCTGAGGGTTTCATCAATGACGAAAAGCTTCACTTACTACTCATCCATATCACAATATATGAGAAACAAGACTCCCCCTCTTTTTTTCTTTCCCTATGTACACACCTTCGTTTGAATGCCAAAGGCATACTTCAATAGCTATTGCATAATCTAGTTAATTAGGAATTTCCTTGATTAAAGTTAAACTGTGTTTGAAACAAACAAGAGTGAAAGTATAATTTGAATTTTTATTTATATTTATTAAGATTGCATGTAGATCGACGTATTTAAGTATGAAAATATGAAGGTACTAACCGCAACATGGTGATGTGCCATTCATTACCATAAAACAATTGTATTTATTGCCGGAAATCATAACAATACTTACTCTTTTATGAATAGATAAATTTCTTCCGTGTTTAAATATGATATTGTCACATGACCAAATACGTCACTTACATGGTTAAGTGCACTAAAGATATGGTAGATAATTCATTGACAATTTCTATTTGAACTATTGAAGTATAGCGATTTAAAATCCTTTTAGTATCATAAGTATGTGTGTAAAATTACCGATGAAATAAATGTGCTCCACGATTTGGACAGAAAATTTAACATTAATTTTGATATGTTACCGAAATTAGGTTTCTAAAAAAGTGAAACATAAAAATTCATCAATTGTACACATCCTCTTCCTTTTAAACATACACGTGACAGACAAGTTTTTCTGGGCTAATAAAGGGAGCACTGTTTATTTATGCTCAATCATAGATATAAAAGTCATGCGTCAAGTTTATTGCTAGATTTAAATATGATTGGAAAAGGATTTTTCTTCAATACTAAACGTACGAATTTGTCTTATTTTCAGGAAAACGCATGGCCTAAAACGAAAGAGATATAATATGTATATTTGTGTAGGTTTATAGCACACATAACGCTCTTGAAAGCTAACATTTTCTTCTTTTTGATTTGGAAAAGCAATTTGTATGTACTTTTTCCAATTTAAATCTGGAATGCTTGACTTCACAAATATCAAATTGGTATCTTAGACAGATGCAAATACGTTTAAAATTGTGTATGAAAGTTGTTTAGTTTGCAATTGTGTTCAGAATTGTCCCTCTTTGCCCAGGGAAAATTGAAACATACGAGATATCGAACGATTTGTAAAAAGACAAAGACTCACAGAGCTACTATAAAGATGATGCCGTGTATTAACAGATTGTTCTTGCGGAGTTTAGTTATCATGTGTTACATGTACATGTACCTTTAAACAAAGTAAATGAAAACATCAAAACATTGTGAACAATATTAAAATCCGCTTGATTTTTGTAATGTAATAATATTTGGTGTGTTTGCTTTTTTTTTATTAGAATAGATTTTATTTTAATTATTAATATTGATAGTTTTATTTTTATTTATTTTTTTACATGTATAGTTTTCTTTGAAAAAAGATAATGTGTTGGTGTTTCCTGCAGCAGACATATGGGGTTAATACGGGAGTTAAAATTGTACGAATCTTTTTCTTTTTATGAACAAAATGATGTCAAATTATATTGGGCCACTACGAAATCTGACGGAGAAATGTTTTTGTGACCAAATCATTAAAAAAATAATTGTCAAAGAATTAACTTTTTACAATTAAGTGTTAACATGGTGAATAAATGAAAGTTTACACAAACTAGAAAACTATGGAGTTAACCCTAAAACTAACAAATGGATTCTTTCTTTCCTCGAAAATAGAATGCAGAGCGTAATACTAGTATTAGAAAGAGCTGTCTCCTTACTATCTGTCTTTCCCCCAAGGCACAGTTCTTGGACCTCTATTGTTTCTAACCTACATAAATGACATACCAGAAACATGAACGTCATCTGAAACTATTTGTAGACGTTATCCTTCTCTATAGTACTATCAAAAACCAGGTAGGAAAAATTAGCATGATGTTCATGTTTGGGTTATTTTAACAACCAGCCACCGCATCAAACTAACTTGGATGTCGTAGTTCATTGCTTTATTCATTAATATTCTAGGTCTTCTTTCATACCGCAAAAAAATATTATTTTATTTAGGGAATAATATTTTTAAAACCATCCACCATGAGCATGATGAGCCTGGAGGTTGAATGGTATTTGTTTACGAACCAACGGCTATCCAATTTTAGTCTTAAAACTCTATTTTAGACCTTGTTACTGAATTTGTGTGTTACGGAGTTGAAGAGTATTCTTACGTTTCAACGTATTTATACATCCCTTTCAAATAATTAGGTTTGAGCGTTGCTGTTTAAGGTAAATGCAGAAATCGGCACTGTCAAAGTACTATACCTGTACCTGTGTCATCACCACCAATAAAGCCAACATTTAATATACCTTACATCTTTAACCCTATATTCTTTTAACCTAAAGTTAGGAATAAACATCGTTCCCTAGTTTGTTTTGGTATATAAAAGTTTAATCTAATAACAATAGAACATTTGCGTGCACTGATCGCTAAAAATATTCAAAAGAAGAGTTTCGATACCGGAGTTCAGCAGCGGCCAAGATATATGATCAAAATAATTTTTTCAATTAAAGTAAAAAATAAGAAGATGTAGCATAATTGCCAATGAGACAAATATCAAGCGGAGACCAAATGCCGTAGATGTAAGAATAACTTCCTAAGTATTAACTTGAAGAGTGACATCCTTTGTTTTTATTGGTGGAGGAAGCCGGAGTGCCCGGAGAGAAACGCCGACCTTCGGTAGGAAAACTAACAATCCTAGTCAATTAGAAATGGAGTCGAACGCACCTGCCACGTGCGCAATTGGAACTCACAACCTCAGTGTTGAAAGGCTAAATTTAATGATACCGTAGTTCGACTACTGTTTTTGTTTTACTTTTTACTTAGACCACTCGGCCACAGAGGCCTCCTCCAATTGAACGAAAATGTTATCATTTGTATTACACCTCTGGTTCCGCATGCCACTCTCGTGTATATGAGAGGATCTAAATATGCTTTGCACGCGGAACCTGGTCCATATTCTCATCACTAGTCAATTATTGCAGAAATAATCTGGTTCCACGTGCAAGGCACATTTAAAATTAGAACAGAGTGATGCATTTTTTAAATACCTGAACGTACAAGATTTATATTTATGAATGATGACCTTGTAGCGATGACAAAATTTAGTAAAAGTTTTGACAAGTTTGTGATATCAAAAAACTTGATGTAATGATTTTACAGTAATACAGAGATTTCTTTCGTTAAAATCAGATACGTTGTCACATACACGAGCAAATCGAACAAGTTGAGATATAGACAATAACTGTTTAGTGTCTTTAAATATCAGCTGTATTTGTACGAGGCTAAGAAACAGGTGTAATGCGAGCTTTAGCGAGCTATTACTCCTGTTTCGAGCCGAGTACAAATACAGCTGATATTTAAAGACACTAAACAGTAATTGTCTTTATCCTGCAATTAATTCTGTATATTGTTTGTGCTTTGAAAGACACAAAAACTCACATTTTTTGCATTTATTTTCGATTTAAAATCCCTTGAGGCCCGTGTAGTAATATTAAAATCACACATTCAGCTGGAGACGGGTTCGCAAAAAAAGAATCTCGAATGGTCAACAATAATACATCGCTCAAAGTGAATAATTATCTATTTTAACATAAAAACTAATTTCAACAGTAAAAACAAATAACAAAACATTGTACAATTTGAAACAGAAGTGTACGAGTTGTCCTACGCTTCAGAATTTTGAACTGAACTTGACATTCACTTAACATGCATGCTGAAATTGACATGGTTGATTTTGTTACACATGTACACATTCAAGTTTTGAAATCGATGATTGGCATCGTAGAAAATACTACTGTTCATGTTTGTCTGTTATTAGAAAATTCGTTTGATTCTTATTGCTTTAAAGATATGTTTGAAAACAAACAGAACGTATAAAAGTGATCGTTAGTTCGCATACGTCATTGGAATGCGACTGCAATACACATTCTGGGGTCACGCAGGTTCATACAACACTCGTCAACAGCAATACACAAATGTAGTCCGGCAGTGGGCGGAGCTTTAAAGCGATATCTGTATAGTATACAGATACAGCATAGCGATATCTGTAGGGCTGTATCTGTATAGTAAGACACCCAATTACAGGATAAATATATATAAACACCATACGATGATGCCAAGGGAACGTAATCATCTGAAAGTTGATAATTAACAATTATAGCAAATGAAAAATCATCTTTTATCGTTAATTTTAGTATTTTACAAGCGTCCCGTTAGAGATATAGATATCAAGATTTAGGAAAGTGTAGTGTTTATTGTTAGTATTAGCTTTATTTAAAGTAAGTTCATCAGGATAAATTTCTTTAGTGTACATACTGAAGTCGTCATTATTGTGTATAGCTAATGATTATTTGTGAATTATGAGTGTAGGCTTAAATTGAATTTTATTAGCTTCTTACTTATATGCCCAGTCTATATGTTTTTCGTTGTTCGACCAATTGTGAATTAATTTATAAATAATTAATCTTTTTTTATGATTTTAATTTTACCTTTTCATAAAGCCAAATGAGTATATCAAGCAGCACATAATCATAATTGGCAATGATTTGAAAAAAAAAGTACGAAAGTATGATTTTTTGTTTCAAACCTGTATAAAAGCAGAATATATAATTTTTCATTATTAGCAGTAAGTTTTGTTTAATTCAGTCAAAATAGGCTCAAAAACATTGCTGATGTATCATTTGCTTGCAAGTCAATAACGCAACATCATTATTTAACCTTTGTTTGAGATGTGTTGCATATTTGCTCAGTTCACGAAACGAGTGTCAGCTGAAAAGTGAAACAAGGACAGGCAGCAGCAGGACTCAGACAAGCCAGGAATACACACGAAATGGCGATACTTTATAACGATTCCAGACATTGTGTATTTATGGTGCTAGTCCTAAATTGTAGGCGGCCGGGGATCTATGAAGCAGGGGAAAACATTTCCCCCCTATACATCGGGAAGAAATTTTCATAGACGGCCACCGGTCAAAATAAATATTTGTTCTATTCCTACAAACAAAGTAAAATACTAGCTGTTGTTATAAGGTCCTTTAGTTAGTTGTTTTAGCAATTTAGATTTAATTGATGTACAGGTAACTAAGTTAAAGAAAAAAAAAAACTCCTTTTTACTTATTTATGAAGACTTATGATTATATTAATAATTGATAAAAAATGAATGCATTGCTGAGAATAAAATAGAAAATTAAATATGGAAATGTACTTTGAATTTATATAAAATTATATACCTCTATGGAGTTATTTTCTTTCAGAACGATAGTTCTTTCTTTTAAAGAATCATCAACCCGGGCGATACCAAGTTTCAATGAATATGTGCTTCAAGGCATACATTAGTTT